GAGAGAGAGAGAGAGAGAGAGAGAGAGAGAGAGGCTGATGGAAGTTTTGTTTTCTTTATAATTTTTTTCCTCACACTTTAAGGATATTCGGAACGTAAAGGTTATTGTTGAATGTGCAGACTACAGAATGAATTGGAATATCTACAAAAATATTTTTAAAGAGCAGATATGATTAATTAGTAATATCATTATCAAAGGCTTAAAAAAAACAACAACATATTATGATGCCAAATTATATTCTACAGAAATGGAATGATGAATTGCAAATGTATGGTCAGCCCCTTGTAGACGGCTGTGAATGCTGGAAAATCGCCACAGACAGTGAAAACAAAATAAAAGCAACAGAAATGTGGTTACTAAGGAGACTGCTGAGAACAGAGCAAATCTTGAAAAGGAAAAAAATCAAACGAGGAAATACTTGAAGAAGTCAATGCTGTTCGCTCGTTGATGAAAACAATCAGGAAAGAACGAAATAATATGCAGTTTCTGGGACACTTGAATACATGTAGAGGCTTTCAACACCTAGATCTAGCTTTTCTTTGCAAAATTGTAGGCAAACGGGGCAGGAAGTAGACCCAGAGCAACCTATTTGGAGAGCCTAAATATATGGGTGGAGGATAAAGATCAGGATAATGTTGCTATATTTTGGTAGTTTTTTTTAGCACTCGAGCAAAAGAGTGAATGGAGAACCATGATCGCCGATGTCTGTCGCAGATCTGGCACTTGATGATGATATGTACATATTGTAATGCGTATGCATGTGTGTGTGTGTATGTGTGTGTGTGTGTGTGTGTGTGTGTGTGTGTGTGTATGTGCGTGCGAGTGTGTGTGTGTGTGTTTGTGTGAGTGTATATGTGTGTTTGTTTTTGTGCCTGTTTGTTAGTTGCTCTGTGTGAGTAAATATCAAAAGTTCAAATACGAAAAATACAGTTGCTGGTGAAATAGTCTAAGTTATTATTATTCTTTTTTTGTTTTGTTTTGTTTTGTTTATTTTTAGTTTTGTAAGACACTTTGCTACTCTAGAAATACAAGGTTCTATCTGATCAGTACCTAGATTTGAGAAATTTGTTATCAAAACATTTTGAGCTTCACAACATGTCAATCTTTTGGAATGCAATTATTTCAATATCTTGACAACACCTACGAATAATCTTACGATTCTGATAGAACAGATCAGATAGAACATTTATTGATTTCTGGCCTTATGGTCATAGTAACAAGAAACTACCAAAATGTCAAAAAGAACTTTGTAATTCTAAGGTAGTGAAGGGATAATGAGAATGTGTTTGGAATTCAATTCTTGGCGTGAGGCACAGTGAACTGCAATTTCGAGGAAAGTCGAGAGGAATGTGTCATCGTCGTCGTCGTCGATTCTTTTTCTTCTTCTTCTTCTTCTTCTTCTTCTTCTTCTTCTTCTTCTTCTTCTTCTTCTTCTTCTTCTTCTTCTTCTTCTCA